AGCGTTGGCAGGCCTTGCCAGGAGGTGCCTGTCTCTGGGGTCTGACTCCGGTCGGCATGGGCAGTGTGAGGAATGTAGGCTTCTGGAAGGAAACAAGGCTGTAATTTAGGGGTTTGGTGGAAGCGCTGGCGTCTGTTCCTACAGGCATGTGTGGAGGAGGAGGCTCATGGGGGTGAGACACACGTTCCCGTAAATATAAAGGCTGGTCTTGGTTTAATACCAGCTTTTCCCTTTTTTTTTTTACTGCAATTTTATTTGTTCCTTACAGTTGATGGGATCTGTCTGATAGCTGTGGGAGGCCTTAGAGATTTAGTCTTGGACAGAAATTGTTTGTGGCATGTGTAGTTTTGTAAATCAATCATCTTGATGCTTGCTTTTTTCTCTGTACCTGTGATCATCTTTTTTTTGCTCATTTATGCAGATTCTATTTTTATATGGGAAAAAAAGAACAGCTCTTCAGCTTTTGTTAGTGATAGGAAGAAGAGAAACTTAATTGGGATTTCTAACGTATAATTTGTTTCCCAGAATAGAGAGATGCAGAATTAGTTGTGATGTTGTTTTCCCTTCGTGGTCTTGGAAGTACATGGAAGTGTAATGTTATTATTCTTGGTAGCTTAGTTAACATGAAGATGGAGGATTATGAAATATTCTGCAAGAAGCATCTTGCCAGAATCCAAGAAGAGGCACTAAAAAGAGAAACCTCTTTTGCTATTCAGCACAAAAACAACTCCCTCATTCAATTCCATGGAGTTCCTGTGCTTTCCCCTCTGGTAAGGGTTGTTATTTATCGTTTTCTTCTCTGGTGTGCTAACTCGTGCTATTGGCATGAACCTTGATATCCCCATGTAATGATTCTGCTGAAGGTACAGCTCTGTGTGAGGTATCTCATGTGTGGCCTGATGTTTAGTGTATTCTCTGCATTCCTAGCCTTAATTTTACAAAGTGAAGGGGTAAAACGTACTTCGTTTTACACTGACTACATTGACTTTAATTTCTTGAAACTTATCTTCAGAAGGGGAGTAAAAGTGTTTGTGGTATTAAATAGAGGAGTATTATTGCTGGGCTTGACTTCGTATAAAATCATATCAACATTCCAAATGTTGAATACATGAGGGTTTTTTAGAGTGTCAAAAAAAACCCCAAAGCAGTGCAAGTAGGAAATACTGAGATAATTAAAAAGCTTTTAAGTAAATTTCTTTTTTGCATGTGTTTGCAGCTTCCTCTAATGTATTTCACAGGCTCATCAATTATGTTAAGTCATTCCATGCTTAATGCAAACAGAGCCAAGCAGAAGACTGTTGGTAGTTTGCGCAGTAATGCAGCTGACTTCCTTGTGTCAGTGATGGGAAGTATGAATGGAGAGGCTCCGTAGCAACCATGTCCAAACATCAGATATATGTTGGAGGCTAAATGGTGTATCTTAATACTATTAATTTATAAATGGGTTGTTATTTTAAGGTTTCACAGAAGAAATGTTTTATTTGACTTGAGACTATTAAATTTTGTAGAACTTTGTGAAACGAAGTTTTGTAGCTGTATCTTGTAGATCTACTTTTGACTTTTATCCAAACCACATATTCTAAAGTTGTAACTGAGACGATTTTCAGATTGGGATTGTTGAAAGGATCCAGCAGACTGCTTGCATACATTTTGTTCTTGTGAAACTCCCCTCTGGTTCAGGAGGGCACGTGTAAGCAAGTCCTTAATAGGTTGAGTACCAGTAGGAAGACGAGTTGCAGAGGAGCTCCACAGGATGGCCAGACTTCCTGTCTCCATAGAGAACTGGAAGACTGCACTCTGTCCTATGTCATTTGAAGCTGGTGCTGCAGTATGTAATGTTCATGCAGGTTTTTTATAAATGACCTTTTAAATTCATGTTCATTTTCATGTGTGCCAAGAAGGAGTTTTGTGCATCTTCCATGAAAAAATACATTATTGGTTAAAAAGAAGCTGCCATTTAAAATGTGCACAAAGTCTCAACTTAGGTGATTGTTGTTCTTCTGTTGTTTTGTTCTTTTGGGTTTTTTTTCTAATTTATTTCTGTAATTCTGTATTGCAGTTTGCATTTAGTGATAGGAACCATGTTTCTTACACTCTGTTTTGCAGCTTAGCCTTGAAAAGAAAAAGGAAATACAACAATATAAACAGAAAGCACTGGACCTAGAGACCTGGAGACAGAACTCCCGGAAAAGAGCTTTATTGAATCGTGTTCAGGAGATTCTAGATAATGTTCAGGTAGTATTACTCCAAAGCCACCTTACACCTTTACAGAAAACCTTTGCTTATAGGCATTTTGAGAAAGTGCTGGGGGTTAAGTATTCACCAATATAAACATGAAATTAATAGCAGTTAACTCTCCAGAACCAGCATGTGCTAGTGTTTCATGCTGTGTGACCTGATAATGGATTATTTAGTGTTAATATCTGTGTTCACTGTAATGCATGGGACTTGCTTTTCATTGCTTTTGTTGGTGTATGCAAAAGGCAGACCAGACCAGATGGCTGCTGCTTTTGTAACTGTATTCGAAACAACTAGATAGTAAAACCAAATGAACAACTTACCCCTCTCCAGGTGTTAGAGCTTGCTGTACTTGCAAGCTTACAGTTTAATCAGAAAATAATCTATATTCAACCTTACAGTTACAGAATTAAAATTACCTTCATAACAACTTGCAGTTCTGTGTGCTTTATAATTTTACTTCATCTGTTTTCTTTGCTGCTTCACTGATGCATTTACTAGAGGTTTAAATTGAAAAAGCTATTAAATACATCTAAGCAAGGTATTATTTGTCTTTGAAACAGTTGTAATACAGTCTCTAAATTAACCTGTGGCTTAAACAAATACAGTTAACACTGAATTTGTTGGGTTGCTAAGGTGGCAAACAAAACTTTGTGGTTTGCATTGTTAACTGGAGTGTACATGGCAACACTCGCCTGTCTGGGATTGGAAGAGCAGATAAGGAATACAACACAAAAATAAGCTAGCCTTTTCTTTTTTCCCAGAGGTGTCCCCTTAATAATTGTGCTGCAACACACAGGATAACCTATAGGATAATTGTAGTGCGAAAATCCTTTTAAACAGATGCTGGCTAGAAGTAGCATATAATACTTAAATAAAGCTGGTTTTCCAGCTGCTTTACAAGTGAAAACTATTTATTGTCTCTGGATTAGTAAATAAATGAATAATTTATAGTTCCACTATTTTTATTAGGAATTATGTTGATTTGTTCTTAGTTGTCTATAGGTTTGTCTGTATTTCATGCTGATTTTTTTTTTCAATTACATTTCTTAATGTAAAATTATTTTAATCTATCCAAATTACCTTATGAAGAAAAGAGCATCTTTGCACTCTGATACGTGGTATCAGTAAAAATTCTGAGTGGACCATTATTCAAATTTAGATTTTAATTTCAATAATTTGTTTCTTATTGCAAAGAGCTTCATATTTTAAGTAATTTGTAGGAAATCAGTAACAGTTGAACTGAAACCCTGTATTGGTTTTAAGGTAGCAGCATTCTTTTTAAAAATAGACGCAGGATTCTGAGAACCTGAGATTTCATTAAAATACACGATGTTCTTCAATTTTTATTTACAGGTCAGGAGACGACCTAGTGTGAGTGATGCGAACACACAGGAGGCTGAGAATACTTGCCCTGATTCAGATTCAAAAGCTTCAGCTGACTTCACAGCTCTATCAGATGGCACTTTGGCATGTTCTCCTGAAAGGCGTGGTTCCACAGCGCTTGAGAAGGCACCAGATCTTAAGCCATCAGATGCTATTGGGCAGGTGACACCAAATGTGACAGAAGTAGTTAAAGCAGCAGAAGAAAACGTTTTTTCAAAGCAAAGCGAGAGTCACGTCTCAAAAGATGTACCTTGTCCAAGGGCTGCGTCTCCTGACAATGTGCATAATAAGCCTGCTACGTATGCTTTGCAAAAGCAGGAGGGACTAGGAGCATCGCCGTCAGATGAGGAAGTCCAAGATCCATATGTAATGAGTCTTCAGAACCTGATGAAGAAATCTAGGGAGTATGTAGAGAAAGAGCAAACCAAGCGTAGCTCAAAAAGTAATTCAAAGAGGAGTGTGAGTGAAAGTCTTTCAGATAAAGAAAACGATGGTGTGAAGACAACTGACTCTGTGAAAGAAAGAGCAAAGCCTGCAGGCAGAAGTGGTGGTGCTCTGACACTTGATAAGCCTAGTCTTAATAAATCAAATACCCTTCTCCAAGGTGCCTCTACTCATGCAAATAACTCAAGTATGTCCACTTTATCCAGTTTTTCTAAAGTGGACATACCAATGAGAGTTGGAACACCCCCATTGGTGGATTCGGATTCAGATGAAGAATTTAAAAAGACTTCTATGTTTGATCGTGACAGTAGCATTGTCAGGAGCCTCACAGGCTCTTATGCCAAACTGCCAAGCCCAGAGCCAAGCATGAGCCCTAAAATGCACCGAAGGCGCCCAAGACCTTTATCAATGGGACACATAGTTATAAATAACCCAGTGAATGCTTACGAGTTGAGTCCTAAAGGCAAGGGTAGAACAATGGATTTAATCATGCAAGATATTGCAGACAAAAACAATGTGTCCGAATCAGTGCCAAAGTTCATGGTGGACTTCACTATGGCTTGCCCTAGCAGAATTCCTGGTGTCAACAGGAATTCTTCAGGCCCTTATGATGGGTTGGGGGTTGGCAGACCAAATCGCCATTCCTTTGGGCACTTTGAAAGCAAAGGAACGTTTTTGGCTACAGTGGAAGGACAGGTAGTGATGGACAGCAGAGGCCCATATAAAGTAGAGACCAGCACTAACATTGTTGCTGCAAAACTGAATGAGCCATTTGCCAGCAGCCAGTCTACAGTAACACAGAAGCTCCTAACTGCGAATGAAACCAACCCATCTAGTCTGCTAGAAAATACTAAATGTAATTCTCCAGTAGAACTCAATAAGTCTTATGATGTAGAGGATCCATCTCCACTACTAATGCAGAGCAAGAATATGCAACAGCAGATGGACACTCCAAGTATTTCCTCAGCAAATGAGCAGTTTCTAGAAAATAGTTCTGAAAAGGTAAAACGTAGACTTGATTTGGACACCGACAACTGCCAAAAAGAAAACAGTCCCTGTGTTCTAACAGTTGGAATGGAAGAAGAGAAGCAGTGGTTGCAAGAACAGAAGTATCCTGTGGGATCAGTTTACATTACCAAGACTGCAGCCCCTGATAATATGGCAAAAGGTAAAAGATTTCCTCTAGTTGAGGCTTTTCCTTAAATTTCTCAGTTTATAAATCTTTTGGGAAAAAAATCTCCAATAACCATTAGTCATTGGTATTTCTATGTACATATTTTGTATACAAAAGCTGAAATTTTGTTGAGTGTAAATTACCTTTTTTGTTCAGGAACCTCATTATTTCTCTGGTTTTTAAGTAATGACAGATTCTGAAATTCAGCTTGCTACGTGAGCTGTTTTTAACTGCTACAGGATGGAGTAATGGCTGCCTTAGGAGCCACTTGGAGTCAAAAGTCTTACAACAGTTATTTTTAACAAGTACTTGATGAAACAATTGATGAGGAAACCGGCTAAAACATACCAGTTTTGTCAGTTCTGTATTTATTCTCAAGGGTATCATTTGACAGCACAAATAGTAATTTCCTATTTGAATGTAGAAATCTGAATTTAGTTTTGCTAAGAAAATTATGTCTTATTCCATGAGGTCTAAATAAGAATACTAAAAGGAAGCCTGTGTAAATTAAAATACCTTTTAATGGGTTGCAAATCATTATATAGGTATTTTGTTCAAATTCAAGACTGTTACATCTGTATGTGCCTCTACCAAAACAAGCTGAAGTGGCATAATTCACTCTAAGCAGGTGCAGGTGTGCTATTCTTAGAGATAGTTTTTTTGTGACCTTATTTTAATATAGACTCAGATGGTGTTACTGCTGGTCCATTCACATGCTCATCCCACAAATGTGAACATGCAAATATTTTGAAGGACTATAGTAACTGGTGAGGTTCTTTGCAATACATCCTGGAAACATGATATCAAAGTTCTTTGCAATACATAATGGAAACCTGATAGCAAAGATCCGTTGTACCTTTTTACTGATGATGCAGAATACTCCTGTTAAAAGCACGTATGTCCATGGCAAAGGTCATGTAGAAATTATTTAATACTTGATTTTTTTGTAATATATCTTCTCAGAAGATATTTTAAAAACTAAAATGTTGGCCTTTGAAGAAATGAGGAAGAGACTTGAGGAACAGCATGCGCAACAACTGTCGATTCTGATAGCTGAACAAGAGAGAGAACAGGAGAAATTGCAGAAGGTAAGGTAAAAAGAGGAAAAATTCTAAGCAAAGGGTGTGTATGTTGTGCTGCAGCTTGTCAAAAAGCAGTTGGTTTAAAAATGTATGTTCCATTGCTTTGTAGAGTTAAAATTAAGTATGAGTCTGTTTTTCTTTCTTTTGTAGGAACTGGAAGAGCAGGAGAGAAAGTTGACAGGGAAGAAGGTTGCTACAACAGAAATAGAAATTTCCAAAGTGAACATTAACAGTAGAATGGAATTGGAGTGGAGGAAAAAAAGCGAAAGCAGCTTGCTGGAAAGTGTGCAGTCTCAGCTGGAGACAGTCCACAATGCAAACTCTACCAGCATTGGTAAAACTGATGGCACAGAACATAGATTAAATATTACATATTTTACTCTACAATGCTTGATGGGACCAGCTGCCCCACCGTATTGATAAAGGCAGTGTTCCTGCCCTGGGATACTTGTTGATCAGGATAATGTGGACAGCTGCTGTCTCCAGCACGTCTGAAACAAACTCTGTGTTGCATCTTAGTCTAGATGGCATTTAGCAGTTTCAGCCATCCTTGTACTGTGCCATGTGTTGCATTTGTTAATAATTGTTATAAGGCATATTTGAGGAAAACAAGCTAAGAGTAAACTCATTTGGTCAAGGATGAGCTTGTGGATATGCATCATGTCGCAGAAGGTTCATTCTCATGTAGCTGTACAGAGTGGGAGCGGTGTTCTCCTTTGAGTAGGAGGATTAGAGGGGTTCTGCCAAAGGGTCTTGAATGCAAGCTGGTGAAGTCTTGAAAGCTGTGGCTAATGGAACACCTCTCAGCAGTTCCAGAACATTAGGAAATGTTTTGGTTTGTCTTCTGTTTAGCAAATTTTGCTAGGAAATGAATCCGAGATACTAAGATTGCTTTTTTCCAAATGACCTTGTAAACAAAGCTGCTGCCTTGGAGCTGACTGTATATGCACACATAGTCTTTACTTTACGGACAAAAGCGTGTTGAACTACACTTTCTGCTTTGCATGCAGGTTTTGCTCATACTACAACACCGAGCACCTTTGCTTCAACAAGTGAAACGTCATTCTTTCTCTGGGGACCATCAGGCACTGGAGTTATAAAAACCTCAGTATCTAGGCCAACTAACAGGATCAAAACTCGGTGGACGCAGGTAAGGAAAAGAAAGCTATTTATAGCTTAAAAAACCTGTAGTTTTTGTAAGACACCAGTAACTTTGTGATAGCCAAGCAGTAATATATCTCACAGAAAAGTTTAGTATCTGTTCCTATATCGACTTCAATTACACAAGACAACTGTATAGGATATTTTCTTTGTTGTTCATATATTGCTTCTGCTAAGTTAATATTATGGTGGGTACTTCTGGCCCAGTCAAAACTTTATCATAATCAGCTTGTTTCTTACTTCAAATTTTTGGTGACATGATTGATGTTATTTGAGAGAAAATTAATAATTCTTGGCTTTTTAATAAAATGTTTTGAAAACACTTCTTTTCTTTTAAGGTTTTCAGTCCCGAGATACAAATGAAGTTCGATAAGATCACTGCTGTGGCAAAGGGGTTTCTCACGCGTAGACTCCTGCAGACAGAAAAACTGAAACATCTGAAGCAAACTGTAAAAGTAAGATCAGCATATTTGTGTGGAGCTGCACATTTATATTGTGTAGCTCCATCTCCCATTTGGTTTTGTTCCTGTCTTCAACTGACACATGAAATGATGCATTTTCTGCCTTTGCAAGAATTTCAGCATGTCTGTCGCGTGAACGTGTTCAAGTGTTGCACTGGTCAGCGTCATAAGGTCCAAGTCAAAGAATATGCGTCCTATGCATAGAGTTTGTAATGATTTCTTTATTGTGAGGAATGATGCTTAATCTTATTTTCCTGTCTTCCCCAGGATACAATGGAGTTCATAAAAAATTTTCAGTCTGAAGCCCCATTAAAAAGAGGAAGTGTTTCTGCACAAGATGCATCCCTTCATGAAAGAGTAATGGCTCAGGTGACACAATTTAAGCTTTTTCCTTTTCCCCCCTTTTTTCCCCTTTCCCAGCTATTCTGCTTTTGTAGTGTAAATACCTAAAACTTTCAGGGTGACTTTGTTTAAAGTAAAATGTTCAAAATATGGCTGTGAAGAGAAGATTCCAGTTTTGTGCTGACACATTAAGAGAGATATCAGAATTATCTTTTCAAGTGTTTTGTTTAGATTGGAAGCGAGAAGAGTCTGAGGATCAAAACTTGACTCAATACTTTATTAGAATGTTAAATGTTAATTGTTCTTTCCAGCTGCGAGCTGCTCTGTATGACATCTACGACATCTTTTTTACAATGGAGGCATCAGAAAGAATGAATATTCTGCGTCATGATCGTGAAGTTCGTAAAGAGAAGATGCTCAGGCAAATGGTGTGTTAAACTCCAGAGAATGTGAACTGCTACAAGGCTTTCAGTATTGAACCATTTTGCTTTTAAGAGATTCTTCCTCACCCAGTCAACAGTTTTTAAAACCAAAGTTGTTGTTTAATTATGCTTCTATAGGTAACGTTCTTCAAATAAAAGAAAAAAAAGAGGTCAGTGCAGTAGGAATTGTTATGTTAAAACTTTTAATGTGTAGATGTATACAAATTAGAATTAAAAACATGGTGAAAATAACAACAGAAAGTCCATAACAAGAATTTGTTATGGCACACAAACCTTTTAATCTGGTAATATAAGCGAGATCCTTGAATTAAAAAAAACCCAAACCCTTGAATTGAGGCTGAATGTGAAATTAGTACTGAAAACACTTGGTTTTGTTGGTTCTTTTGCTTTTTTAGGATAAAATAAAGAGCCCAAGAGAGCGAGTGACACTTTCAACAGCTACACAGAAATCTCTGGACAGGAAGAAGTACATGAAGTATGTGCAGTTCTCCCTTTGTGGTGGTGGTGGGTGGCAAGAGGATGAGTAGGAGGCATTGGAAGTAGTGAAAAGACATTTTTGGAGTCTTTCCAAAGCTTTTTTCCAAACTAACATCTCTCTCAGGAAGAATGAATAAAAATCTGTCTGTGGGTGTGTGCTGTCTTACTGGAAGTAGTTCAGTCTTACTTTTAAGAGACTTACTGTTTGCATGGGAGAAAAAATGTGTGTTCTAAATTGTGCATTTATGTTATTTTCCGGTAGTGAGTACCTAGTTTATGGTTGATGTTGTAAATTGCAGAATTGTTCCAAGTTATTTTGTCAGTCTTTCTAAAGTGCCTAGCAATAGAGATACTTGATGGAGTATCTCTGCCAAAGGTTTTTGAGGGGATGGTAGCAGGTGTTGTCCTGCAACACAGTAGACTGAACAGTTGTGTGATGCTTGAGAGTAAAAAGTGATAATCTGTAGTACTGCCGTAGATCCTGTTGTAGTTTTTCTCTTACTGTTTCTGTTCAAGACCTAAATGGTGATTTTATAGTTTAAATATATTTCTATACTTTTGTTTCTCTAGGGCTTCAGAAATGGGAATGCCAAGTAAAAAAATAATAATAAAACAAAAAACCCCTGAAAGCCGGTGAGTGAAGATTACTTGTATTAGAATGCTTTTAAAGAACTGTCGTAGAGACTCCTTGATCTGCATTGCTGGTTTGCCATCAGCCAGCTCAGTTCCTGCCACTTTTATGACAGCCAGTAAAGAAATCTGATTTAGTATGGTCTGAAAAAGGGGTTTATTAGCTCATTAGAAGTTAGAAAAGATGCGTAGAGTCAGTTCTGAAATTTTATCTTCAGAAATGATTTATTTATGGCTTTAAATGTCTGTGTTCAGGCTCAAGGTTTTTCTCCGAAGTACACTATTAGTATTTCTCAAGCTTCAGTTTGACACTGCTCTTTTTAATACCCTTTACTTTGCCATATAGTCATTGATATGCTTATCTTTGGAAAGCTCTCAGAAAAGCAGCAGCTTTCTGTTGTGATGTGAAGTTGTTGCTCCTAAATTGTGTGATGGTTTCTTTAGATCACAAAATTTACAGTGTTCAATTTCTGCTATCCCGGAAGACAGCAGCTGCTGTCTGATGAGGCCTGTCTGCACCTTTTTCTAATATGAGAAATCAGATACTCAGCATCCCTTAAACCCAATTTTTATCCCTTGCTTACCCAAAGGCTTTGAAGATGTGCTGTCTACTAACACAGTTCAGTCTTCAGTAACTAGTTTAAACGATTCAGTATGTTCTTATCAATGCCTAGGACCCCAAGGCACTGTTGAGTTTTATCTGGGTGCTTTCTTGTTTCTTCGTTTTAAATAGCAGGAGTAGTAATCCTGTTCTGGAATTTTAATTCCAGCCACTTTTGCGTACACATCATCTGCATTAGAGAACCTGTTGGCCTTTCTGAAATTTGTTATGTGAAACACGATGCTTTATTTGGTATTCCTTATGGGTTTTGGGTTGGTTTGTTTTTGCGGTTTGTTTTTTGGTTTGTTTGGTTTGGGTTTTTTTTCTTTTCTTTTAAGAAGGAAAAAAGCACTAATAAAAGTTTGTGTTTTACCAGTGTACTGCAACCCAATCAAGGACAGAATGCCCCAGTTCACAGACTTCTTTGCAGACAAGGGTAAGGGCACAGCATTTTACAGCCTGAATATGAAAGTAAATGCAAAGTGCAAGAGCACAGTGATTTCTGAATAATATTTACACATACTGGTGCAACTGTTGTACAAAGTAAAACTACTTACTTCTCACAGTATTTGGAGAGAGTGATGAAGCTTTGTTCTAGATTATACTGCAGGAAAACAGTTCTCTCATCCTCTCGTGTATTGTCTCCATTTACACTGTGTTCCAACATTTCTATTTGTAACATTCATCCCATGAAGCTTCGCTTCCACCTAATGAAATATGTGTATTTTTATATGTAGACTGTAACGCCACAGTATCTGAACTGAATCAGTTTCTTAAATAGAGCTTTAAAAATCTGTTCATGGGGAGATGTTCTCCTATTTAATGTATCTGCGTAAACTATAATAACATCTATAGGAATTGTACTCAGGAGGAGGCTCTGTGGGACACTGTAAACATGTTATCATGCCAAACACGGTTTGATAGTATCTTTATATGTTTAGATACAGCCTTTCAACTTTGTTGCAAGTGACTTATTAACTCTTTTATATTTAATTAGAACCCCTAAGACCTCAATGAAGGGGGTTGAGCAAAATAGAAAGAAGGCCTCAGAGAGCAGAATGTCTAACAAGGCTATTTCAGGTGTGTAGAAAATTGGTGCTTGGAACTTATAGTAAATACCTTATTAGTATCTAGAAAAAGTAAACGGGCAATATATTGTTTTCCTTTTCTTGTGCACCTGCTTTGCTATGTCTTAAATCTTAACCTATCTCTTTAAACAAACACGCGCTGGTAACTTAACCATCCACTTTCAAATTCTATAAACATAGTATATAGAATGTACAGCACAGCTCATTTGCTTTCACTCACCAGATGCCCAGTCATAAAAAGTTTGCCAGAAATATTCACTGTTTGAGAAGCTCACAGTAGTCAAAATAGGCTTGGATTAGAATCTTAATGTTATTGGATTCTGAGTTCTGTTCACACATGTGACTTGTCTTCAACACAAAGCCCATTGAAAGGGCAGGAAGCACAGTTTCAGACTTACCAGTGGGCTTTCAGTTATCGGACAGTTCTAAAATTATATATATTACTCTAGCATCTTACAGACTGTATGAAGTGTCAAGTGTTTCCAATAAGGGAAATTCTTATTGATTAGTGCCCTCGAGCAGTGCTGGCAGGGAGTATCTGTGAGGTTTCGTGCAGTGTGTACACTGTTTAAATGTGATGTTTTCCCAGAGTGTTTGGTCTTTTCATAGTACTTTGTGAAGCCAAGGGAAGTGGCCACAGAAGGATATATTGTAAGAAACTAGGCAAACACATCTGTAGCATTTCAGCTTGAAGAGGGGGAAATAAGAAAGCAAACATGGAGTTTACAACCAAGGTTTGATCATTTATTTTTCTGTTCTCCTGGAGATGCTGTCACCACTAGAGTGGAGCACGGCAGTTGTTTGGTTGCACTCATTGACACTCCAGAAAAACTAGCAAAGGAGTGAATAATCTCTTTGAAATACGAAGAAGAAAATTAAGTAAGCAATATAGTTTTAGCAACCAGAGGTAGCCATTAAGGGAAATTCTGATCTGCAAGTTTGCAAAACTGTGTCTGGTATTGACTAGTAAATGGGAGTGCTGAAGAAAAAAGAGTCAAGACCTCTACCAATTACAGAGTAAAAGAGTAGTAGTATAAGAGTGGTGTCAATGTCAAGTTCAGCACTGGTTTGAGTTTTGGATGCCATCCTCAATCTCATAATTCATGCTCAGCTCATAATGATCTGCAGTGTTTTTTACATGTGCTTCTGGCATCAGACCTGCAGTTAAAGCATTCTTTCTCACTCCTCTTTGTCAGCAGAGTGTGCTGCTCTGCTAATCCCTGAGTTTATCTTAGTCATAATTATTGAAGTCGTGACAGTTGATACTTGGCAATGAAAGGAATCCTTGGGGATATATCTAAATTTCTCTTTGCCTTTTCTTATTGCTATTCGTTGACTATCTGGAAAGCTAGGCAATGCCTTTGGTAGTGGCCTTCTTGGAACTTAGAGCAGATGTGTCTAACCAACTTTAGGCTGTCTAGTTCTGGTTGCACAGCGTAACCTCATTTAGTGTTTGGACACCATGTGTTCCCATGGTGTAATACCAATACTTCCATATGCTCCTTTATAAATAGGTTAGACTACTTGTATTAATAAAAATGCCTTCTGAAATTATTAGGGAACACATGGCATGAAAAAATAATCTGCATAATTTTGCAATAATGAAAAAGCCTTAAGTTGAATACATTAAAATAGAAAATGGTTTTCTAATATGGATAAAATGTGAATAGAGAAGAAAGGCTTGGCAGTATGCTGGAAGTTTTTTGTTAATAAATTTTTTTGTTAATAAATTTTTTTAAATTGTGGGGTTTTTTAAGTAATAAAGAGTCTTTTTTTTCAAGAGATGATCCTTGAAAGTCATCTGCAGTGACGCAGCAAGTTCTGTCTGGGGAAGACCAGACAGAGGAACAACAACTCCAAGTGAATTTGAAAAGAGGATGTAAAAAGCCAAATGTATATGCCTCTCTTGCAGTAGTAGAAGTTGCGCATGTCACAAAACAAAGACTTGTAGCAGTGGCTTGGTCCAGGCAATACAGAGATTTATTTATATCTGTAACTATACCAGTCTGCTGTGCTCCTAACCCGTAACAGTTTTAATTTCTTGTCTTCATTCATTCCTGACTCCCAGTTAAATTGTGTCTACTAGAGGGGCAAAAGGGCAGGAGGATTAGTAGAATACAGCTATTATAAATACATTCAAATTAGGTATGAGACAAACCCTCAGAAGAAAACAATACTGTAGTCATCCAACTCGTCGTCTTTTTTCTTCTTTCATTTTCTGATTTTTTAAATTTTTGTCTCCAAAGTGCTTAATACCACTCTGATTGGTGGTTGTCTTTTTCTGTCAAGAAGGCATTTCATTTAGGAATCAACTAGTGACCCTAAATTTATGTTTTATTGTTTTGTACTTCAAAGTTCTGTGCTAAAGAGAAAAGTACAAATTAGTAAATCCATGAAGAGTCTTATTTGTTGAGTTAAAAAAAAAAAAAGTATTTTAAATAGGACCAAGTTGTTCAGTCAGTAGCCTGCAAGCTGGCCAGACAGGGTATTTAATGTGATCTGATTGTGGTAAGGTGGTTGAGATCAGGCTGCTGCTGTAACTAGACCTATTGATCTCCTTTGGTTTGGCCCAGTGTGAGTAAGTGTTGTGGAAAAGAGGGCACAAGGCACGCAGAGTATTTGGGTGGCAGCAGCATTTGGCCAGATGTATTTCTCACATGTTTGTCTGGGCTGAGCAGGGAGCAGATGGCCTGTGTGGAAGGCATCAGGCTTGCTCTGCGTGAACAGCAGGTCATTTGTGTATCATAGGAGAGAGGCCACTTCCCTATACTGTCCTCTTATGTGTGGGAGATTTTTATGTAACTTGGGGGAGAGCGATGACCTAATGTTTAATCACTAAATAAAGCATCATGGCTGCCAGCCTGGTTGGTTGCCCTACAAGATCACAAGTGAGCTGAAGAGTCCAGCACCAGAGAGTGTTGGGCCAGCTCAAATGCGTTTTTGTGTAGTGGGAAACAGTGTTCAGATGCGAGGGATCCTGCAGGAGTGAGATCTCAGTGGGCATTTCCAAAGTTGCTCTGCACTGTGCTGAATGTAGCCCTTGGACATCTGTGAGTAACCACTACAACTCTGACAAAAGTAGCTGAAGAGCCTAAAAAGGACTGGCACTTACTTTGTCACATTCATTTATTTGCCTGGTAACTACTTCTCTCCCATGGCTGTCTTCCATTTCCACTGCTCTGCACCACGTGGTATGATTGTCACTGCTTTGTGTGAATGTCTGCTCACACTGCTGGGCACTTGATAACTGCCTGAACCCAGTGAATGCTGAGTTGTGCTACTTTTGAGCAGCCTGCAGCACTGAACCCTTATTACTGAAAGATATTTGTGCTATGCATAGTATAATATGGCTTTATAAACATATATATCTGTGTATATATTTGTTTCATGCGGAGAGATTGATTTGTCATTATTTTTATACTTGAGCACCTTCCCTTTTGTAAGGGTCCTGCCTAATGACCTTATTCATTCTGCACTTTGTGTATGTGGAACCTGTGAAAACCTACAACTGTCTCTTTATTTATTAATGTAGCAGCTGGAGAAAAGGAAAGAGTTATCTTAAATATTTTACTTTTATAATATTTTTTAATTGATTGTTCAAAAGTAATACATGGCATAAACTTATTAGTCATTTAATCTCTGTCTTGGTGATATGACAGGAGCGTTATAAAAAATTTGTAGTTGTAGATGTTTTGAAGTAGCTGAAAAGAATATGGAATAGTTACCGAGGAAGGAAATACGAAAAAATGTCGCTACTTTCAAACCCATACATAATTCTTGTAAGACAGTTCGGGTGTAACGTTATGAAAACTACCATTTTAAAAGTAGCCCCTGAATATATAATACTGCTTTAAAAATACGTAAATTGTCCTGCACTTTTTCAGCTTTTTGATGGATATTCCTGTTAGAAAAGCCAGTACTAATAATTATAAAATGGTAATATTTCTACTTCATTTTTAGGAGCATATGCAGGAAGAACCCAAAGAAAGAAGCCAAATGTTGTGACAATTTAAGAAGACAGCACTCACTGGGATAAAATGGCTGTTCTTTAATGATGGCATTCTCAGCACTGATTGAAACATTGCATTCCTATGCGTATATGTATATTTAGAAATTATAAACATATTTTGTCATTTCCAGATGATGACACATTAATACAATCATATTGAAGTAATAAAGGGCTGTGAAGCTTGAATACCTGTGGAAAAATTGCATGTTAAAACTTATATATTCATACTGCTACATGCACATAAGGTTATTAATCTTGTTTATTTAAAGACCACCACAGGGCAACATTAATTTGTGACTTTTTCCCACTCTAATTCCTATGTCTGACACATGCTTTTTGCATTACTTAAAACCACAGTTTCTGTGTATGACTGAGATTACCTCCTTTTAAATACTAATGGCCTAAATGTTTTGCATTTCTCCTGAGTTGGACAGACATGGATCCAGATTCTCTGCTGGGCAGACCAGACGTGCTTTCGAAGACTAAACTGAAACAGCACTTTTATACATGAGGTAGATCAAACTGATGTGCTGAAAGAGTCCTAGGATTTTTTTCCTTGCTGTCTACAGCGTTTTCTTATGGAAACAACTTTTGGCCAAGATGAAGAGAAGTGTATGTTCTACAAGAATTCCAGAAGGCAAGATTTTAATTGTTTTAGCATTTCATGCTTACAAGTGATTATCCATAATAATAATTCAGATATCTTTTGTTTCATTGATGACAGTCACAGTTTTTCTGAGTGTTTTCTCTTCTGCCATGATCTGACAGGCCCTTGTACTGAAATAATGATTTCAGGGAGGAAAAATATCCTTACTAAATCCCAGCAAACACAATCTCATATTTGTGAAAATCTAACATTAAAAGATCATGCTTATATTTTAACTTGGTCTTCCCACTGATGGATATTATTCTTCAACTTGAGCAGAATTCTGTAATTTCTTTTAATGACCTTGGCACATTAATAGGGAATTGATAAGGAGAAGCTTGGCCGTGTGTCTTTGCAGTGCTTGCTTTGATCTGCAACAGTAGTAGTAGAGAACTGACTAACAGAATGTGGAATGGATTGTATTTTGTTACTTTCCCAGTATGGATACAGTGCAACACCCTGACTTTGAAGGCTTTGAACATATTTATGTGGATATAAGAAAAAAGACTGACCAAAAATTTCCTTGTGTTAAATAGCATGTGAGAGGAACATTAATGGTGGGATGAGGACAGTATCTTCATGGGCAGCGACGAGTGAATTGGCTTGCTTGTGGCACTGGTTGTTGCTTTCCTCTGCCACCACGTCTGTCCTCTGCAGGTAGTGACATTGTTCAGAACAAACGTTGTATACCATGCAGTAAGTTACCCAAACTGCACGTTTGCAAAATGACAAAAATGCTGCCTGAACACTTTGAAGAACACCACTGCTCGGCAGCTCTTTACCGTGGTGGTTATGTAAAAGCCTGGGGGTGTAAATTTCAGAGTTTTCCCCTGTGGAGGACCTGCCTCCCCCATACAAACGCTGTGGTTCCTTAAAATTCCAGGTGTAATTCAGGAAATGCCAGAGGCAAGCTTCCTGCTCCCCCATGGAAGCTCAGGTTTGGCTCCCACCTTTCCTTAGGAGTGGAAAACAGCTCGAGGGGAAACATTGACAGTGACAAGAGTAACCTGTGTCACGGGTGACAAGACGTGCTGTTGGTATATCAGTACTGAAGATGAATGTTTTTAAAGGATGTTTTATGTGCTGTATTTATTATTAGCATAGGCGATATGTTGATGTAAAATTAGGTTTAGTTTAAATGTTGGTAAAAATGAATGCTTGCCTTCTGTTCGGGTTTCACATCTAAACCTCTCTTACTTTAAGCATGCTTCCAATGTGTGTGTTAAACCACTGTAGCACAAGGGTTTTTTTAACTTTCACGAGGCCTTTCTCTTGACAAGTGCCAGAATTTGTTTTTGTACTTGGTGTTTTGTATTTATACCTATTTATCTTTTTATTTCGTGTGGAACTGTGACATCGTTATGAAAGTGTATTTATTTTTGTACTTTATTTCGTTTTCACCAGTCTTGCTTTTTACTTACAACAATACTGCACAATAAAGTCTTTGACGAGAAGCGCCTTTCTCTCA